AAAATAAACCAACTACTAAACATTACAAAAAATTGATTTTCTTTGTGTAAATAGAGGATTTAATTTATGTCTTGTTACTACTTACCAACAAACGGATTTACGAGATAATCCACGGTGTCCAAGGATTTCTTAACCCCGGGACATTACGACACAAAAACCATTGCAATAAGAAAGTTGGTTTTAAACAATGATTATTAGAAATGGACTTATTTCATTGTGAAATTATTTTGATTACTTTATCAAGAAATCGTGCTCCATTGGATGTATGATTATAAATATAAAAAGAGGATATCTATATCTTAATAAAATTACCATTAACTCATTTTTTCCAAAAGTTTTTAAACAAAAATAAACCAACTACCAAACATTACAAAAAATTGATTTTCTTTGTGTAAATAGAGGATTTAATTTATGTCTTGTTACTTACCAACAAACGGATTTATGTTAAATAAACCTTTGACTTTGATCAGAGCAACGCTTTGACTGCTTTTGAATGGTCCAGCAATGCATTGGAAACGCGCGCAGTTGTATTTCGTGCAACTTATTGCGTATTCTTTCGAATCATCCTTTCCATCCATTTCCTGTACGACCTCAGTCGCCTGTCGCTTCCTTCTGAGCAGCATTGGGGTAGACACAGCTTGAACGGTATCAACAAATTGGTCGCTATCATCCAAGTTCTCCACATCGTCTGCACTCGCCACGAACTCCACTTCCGTCAAGTTCTTGCACATAAACGATTGCCTCGACATCACCACAACAGCAGAATGCATCTTCAAGAACGTGCTGTCATTTTTTTGGTGCTCACTTTCCTCCGACTTCAACGACACCGGTATGAAAACGTCGAACGTCACTTTATCCACCAAAGTCCTACCGTCTTTGCGAATCTAAATAATCGATGTTTTTAATTAATTTCTGTTAGTTTTGTTTCGTATATTTACCTTATATGTTTGCGAGAAAATGGACTTTCCCACACTGACGTTTCCATAAGAATACGATTGCTGATCGGACTTTCTGCAAATAGTGAAATTAAAGACATTGTTTATTTTTTGTGTTAAAGCAGTTACCCTTCCAAATACACGTCTGCTTCGCGGATCATTTTCAATTTAGACACTTTCCATTTTACGGGATTCAAATTTTCGCTGCTTGTACTCACGGAAACATTGACTTGAATCTCGTTGGGAATCGAATTATAATCGTTATTGATGTCTTCCGTGTTAAGTTCGAGCGAAAATTCTTTGACTTCATTCAGCGCCGGATTTCCGATCGAGCAATAAACCGAGGAGTTCTGCTCGTTGCATATAGTTGGAGTATACTTCAACGGCAAGTACGAGGGTAAATCTATGGTCAATCCTGTGATGTAAGCCTTTTCGCCCAGATTTTTCACGCGCACCACCAACTCCACGTACTTTTGTGAACCGATCACGTAATTTTCACTGCAAACATACATTTTATTTTTTTTAATCTCAAATTAAGCGATGAAGCAATTACCTTAATCCTTTGAAGAAGACGTCGAACTGCAAATTGGAAATGCAACGATCATCGTTTTCGCACTCCAATGTGAATGGTGCAATCAACTCGTAGCTGACATGTTTCGTAGCAATCGGGCACGTTCTGCAGAACGAATCAGACTTTGTTGTTCCAACGATGTAAGGTTCTGCGGGGGCCATCTCCACCAGTTCCTGCTTGACGCGAATTACCACAGGATTAGTAACAGTTTTCACGTTGCCAATTGCCGTGTAATTTGTGCAGGATCGCTCTCCTCTGAGCAGCGTCACAGTCTTAACCACTTCAGGTCCAGGAATGCGGACTCTCTTTTCATTTTCATCGATTATAAACGTTCTGCTGACGTCTGAAAAGTCTCAAAGATTATCGAGAGAAAAGTTTTACGTATCGCTTTTCGTACTTATCGAATCCGGTATGGTGCCTTCGTACCACAGGCAGAGCTGAAGATCTGTAGTTGAAAGTTGAAACTTGTTGCCGAAAACCGTTACCAATTGGCGAAGATGCACCACCGGACGTGCCCTCAAAATCAACGCGTTTCCGGAAATGAAGGAACCAACCGCCAAATCTGAAATTTTTGGATGTTCAGAAAGTATTTACGTATTTTTTTAAGTCAAATTAAAAGACGAAATTTTTGACAAAGTTGAGATATTGAATGAAAATTCGTTTAGGAAATATATTTAAGTTATACAATCATTTGATATTTATTGAAAAGATTAGACAATTAGAACAAAATATTGAGATTTGTTGGTCGATCGAAAGAAAATTGTGTTGACATTAAACTTAATATTTGAGTTAATGTCAAACAATCAAAGAACTTCAATAATTTGTGATTGAGATAATGAATACATTAATGAATTCAATAAATAAACGCAACTTGCCTCCATAAGAGTTTCCGTCGATGTCGGTCAATTTGGAGAAACTTATTCCGAAACCTCTCAAAGACCATTTCTTTCCTGTTATTATTTGTGATGGTTCCGTTACAATTCCGTTCGAACTTCCCTTATATATGTAAATAGAACCAGCTCCATCCTCGTACGGTGCACCAACGACCAAATCTGTTTAGAAATTATATCAATATTTAATATGAATATCACTCCACATTTTTAGTGCAAAAGTTATTGTAATAGAAAATAACTATAGTTAAACAACCGTAAAATGTGGTAACGTAATAATATTCTTACCCCCGAATCCGTCACGATCAAAATCGGATAAATAAGCAACGGCCAGACCGAACAGACTTCCAGCTGATTTTCCATATAAAACGGTCTCAGTATTTTGGAAAGGTCCCTAAATTTAATAAAAAAAAAATATGTTATTTTCACACAATTTCTTATTCAATCGTGTTGATTTTTGGTCCACAATTGACATATTATTGAGTTATAATTTATACAGTGAAAGATCAATGTTTGTTCGCAAAACGTCTCTCCTTATTTGCTTTATTGAAAGTTTAATAAAGTTCGCAATGTATTTCGTCAATTCAAAGTAATTTCAAAAAATCTTCACTCAATTTATGTGTTTTTTCTAAGAATTTGTCGAGACTTTCGAAATTATCTGATAACAATACGAACAATTACAATAATACCTAGTTTTGATTAAATTGTATACTGTTATACATTGTATTGATGTATGAAATATTGTGTTTACCATTTTGTTACCATAAAGAACGTAAACTTTGCCCTCACTGTATAACGATCGCTTGTAGTGAGGCGCTCCTATGATCAAGTCACTGTAGCCATCGCCATTCAAATCCCCGGAAGATAAAGATGCACCAAAACATTCCCCCATCTGACTTCCTCGCTTAGCATATTTAACATCAGCGGACACCAACGAACCAATGATTGGAAAATCAAATATCATCACCTGAAAGAATCAAATAATTAATTGTTGAATGGCTTTATTCTGAGATTGAAATTAATTACGCCTCCGAAATATTTGTTTGCTGTTGTTGAAGACATCGTGTAAAGCACTTTCGTCTTGTCGAAATAATTTCCTGAAGTGACGCTGTAACCTGCGAGAAACGTCTGTTTTATAAATGCGTATTAAGAAAATAAATAAACTGACCATATAAAGCGTTCTGAGTGAAATCGTCCAATTGGTACGGGTCGACTATTCGGATCCTTCCATACTTGTCGCCGTTTTTTTCGTATATCATTGACGTTCCAGCCCAGTTTAAGACACCTGAAGCACCTAACATCAATCCGGATTTTCCCTAAATGAAAAGAAACTTTCGTATTTGAAAAATTGAAACGTTCGAAAAAGCAGTGTTTTCATTGATTGTCTCGAAAACTATAATACGTAGAATGAATCCAAAAGATGCATATGAAAGCTGAATGTTTGGGGAATCTAGCAAGTAGTCATATATTACTGTGGTTTTATCCGTTTGGCTGTAATTCGCTTTTAAAGTTGAAAAAATGCTTGAAAAAGCAGTGTTTTCACATTTCATTGATTTTCTCGAAAACTATAATACGTACAATGAATTCAAAAGATGCATATGAAAACTGAATGTTTTGAGAATCCAACAAGTATAGATTCATTCCTGTGCTCTTATCCCTGTTGCTGTAATACGCGTTCAAATTTGAAAAATTGAAATAATAACGTTCGAAAAAGCAGTGTTTGCGGTATGATAGCCACTACAAATCATATATTTTTCGAATGCCCAAATAATAGTATACATACATACGAGTTGAAGGAATTGATAGCAAATAATGTAAATCTCCGAACCTCAATAGAAGTATTGCAATATCTACAGAGTCATTTTAAAGTTTATAAAAAAATCAGGTTGTGTTGTTTGAATATGTGATGTAAGTTGATTATTTTTATATATTTAATTATTTTTATCGGTTTGTTGGATATTTTGTATATCTTAACTTTTATAACAATTCACATAATATTTGAGCTACCTATCCAAGATCTTCCACATTGTGAAAAGAATCGCCGGGTCCCGGTTGGTGAAGAGTTAATATATGTTTTGTTTTTGATGTTTAATCTTATTTAATATGGCATTGATTGGCTATATGCACCCCGTTGTGCGAGCTAAGTTGCATACTTGCATACAGGAAACTTTGCTAACATTGCTACCAACTCAGCTATTTCGGGGAATCCCCTGTGTGTGTAAAACCATTTATATAAATAGTAGGCTTCTTCTGTTAGTTCCCTTCCAATCGGCTAGTGTTATTAGTGAGACTACAGGCTTATAGAAATAAGTTCAATATGGGTGGTTTATTTAGTAGTGATAATCGATCATCGAATAATGAAGGCACTGTAACCCACCCTAACCTACCTGTAACTTACCCTAGAGAACCAAGACCACAAGTTTGGCCCGAGTACAATTCACCCGAATATCTTAAAAGAGTATATCTAGCCGGAGTACAACCGAGAAATGTGTCTAATATTAGGAGAAACCAAACAGCACCACCAAAGCCACCAAATATTAAAATTGTGCAATATAATCCATCATTAATAGAAGACTTGCACCTGTCGCTAACCGACATGGACTTTAGATATTCTAATAGAAATATCTACGAGCTTGAACAATGGGACCCGAAATATTTTGAAATAAAATCTCAAATCGAGAATGTCAAACATCATAGGAATTGCGTGTTGCAATTTTCTTGGCTCGAATTGCATCGTGTATACAAGGTGAACAATCCCTATTTGAAGATGCTGTACGAGTTGAAGAAAAAGGAACAATTGCGGACGATGAAGAACACCCGGGAATTGAATCTGTATCATGGGACGGCGAGGAAGAACGTCGATTCAATTTGCGAAAAGAACTTTGATTACAGATTGTGCAAACGCGGACGATTCGGTAAAGGCGTTTCCTTCTCGAAGCAAATAACGTATTCATTGAGTTACTGCAAGCAAAAGGACGATCTCAAGTGTATAATTTTGTGCAAAGTTTTATTCTCCAAAGCCAACGTCGGCGACGGTAACACCATCTACCCTGATTATAATTGTGATACGACAATCAGAGATAATGGCGCTGTCACTGTGAAGTATGATGATGATGTATTCTATCCTGAATATATCATCTTATTTAAAACTTACAAATGAGCAATAAAACTTATTGCGTAACTAATTATTGTATAATTGTTTAAATTGAACATGTATGTCTTATTGTAAACACATAATGATCGTTACACGTACAATCGTAATCGATCATCTTTTTCATATAATGCAACAAATGCATAGGATTTTCCCACCCCGTATTAATAAGAATTATCTTTGTAAGTAGAATAGGTATTTAGAATTAGTCTTAGTCAACCTATCAAAGTATCTACATTGTCTTGGAAAGGACCCCAAGAGTACCAATTGTTATAATAAACTTGTTGTAAACCAATTGAATTATTTAATTCCCAACTACTGAGACTCCACAACGAATTCCATCCCTGGGACACGACAGTAAAAATGTTGCGATCAATACTACTTTGTGTGTTTGAAATAAATTATTTTTACAATTATTAATAGAAAATTATTTTTTTAAATTTTTATTATTTGGTATTCATAGAATTCGACGCAATACATATAAAAATAGGGGATTCTCTAAATCACTCTAAATGTATAATCTGATTGACAATCTTACCAACTTAGCAAAATGCGTGTTTCTACGGTGACCGAAAAAGGCAAGACTGCACAAAGAACACGCTAAAGAAAAACAAAAATGACAAATCAGAACATCGGAAAAATATTAAAGTTATATAGATAATATATCTACATTCATAAATGTATAATGAATGTTATATTCAATATTTATCATCTATATTGCTTGAACTTTAATAATTATTTTTCCGATGTTCTGTTTAGTCACAGTACTTTTTTTGCCGTGTTTTGTTTTATCGCTGTTCTGTTTTGTCATGCAACCGTTTCTACATTAAATGTGCGGCTTCAAAAATACTTTTCACATAATTAAGTTCATCACATTACACATTATGCTAGTACAGTGGTATTGAATAATGTCTGCACAAATATATAGAAAAATCCCGAAACACTTTCAACAAAATCATTTGACATACGCAAATCTGCGCTCCATTGCGGGGAATCCCCTGTCTATGTAAAACGATTTATATAAATAGTATGCAGACTTGAACGCTTCAGTTTGTTCCCGTCCAATTAGATTGTGTTATTTGTGCTTATCTGAAATAAGTTAATTGAATCTGCATCATGCCACGGCGAGGAAAAACGTCGAAAAACCAAACAGCAGCAACAGTAAACAAAGAATATATTGAAGTTGTTGAATATAATCCATCATGCATAAAGAACTTGCACCTGTCTATAACAAAGATGCACATAAGAAAATTAAATACAGATCTGTGCAAGCTTAAAGAATGGGACCCGAAATATGTCGAATTAAAATCTCAAATCGAGGATGTCGAACCTTATAAGAATTGCGTGTTGCAATTTTCTTGGCTCGAATTGAATCGTGTATACAAGGTGAACAATCCCTATTTGAAGGTGCTGTACGAGTTGAAGAAAAAGGAACAATTGCGGACGATGAAGAACACCCTGGAATTGAATCTGTATCATGGGACGGCGAAGAAAAACGTCGATTCAATTTGCGAAAAGAACTTTGACTACAGATTGTGCAAACGCGGACGATTCGGTAAAGGTGTTTCCTTCTCGAAGCAAATAACGTATTCATTGAATTACTGCAACCAAAAAGATAAACTCAAGTGTATAATTTTGTGCAAAGTTTTATTCTCCAAAGCCAACGTCGGCGACGGTTACACCATTTGTCCTGATTATGATTGTGATACAACAATCAGAGATAATGGCGCTGTCACTGTCAAGTATGATGATGATGTATTCTATCCGGAATATATCATCTTATTCAAAACTTGTAAATGAGCAATAAAACTTATTGCGTAACTCATTATTATTATATTATTTATTGTGTTACCTTTAAGAAAAGTAAATTTAATAAAAATTTGTTCCAATTTCTGACTATACCTCTTCAAATTCCAGAAAACTCCTATTTATTATATAAGATTAGTTATCTGCCATATTTTATTTTTTCCTCAATTTCTATTGTTTCGAAGATTTCATTTTGAACTTTTAATAATGATACATTTTTTACAATACTTGGGAAATTTATTGATTGAACCTAAAATCATCGACAAATGATTAATTAAGATAATTGAAATAGTAAGGATGATAAACATGTATGTTTTTTCTGTCTTTGTATGTTTGTGTTACCTTTAAGAAAAGTAAATTTAATAAAAATTTGTTCCAATTTCTAACTATACCTCTTCAAATTTCAGAAAACTCCTATTTATTATATAAGATTACTGATCTGCCATATTTTATTTTTTTCCTCAATTTCTATTGTTTCGAAGATTTCATTTTGAACTTTTAATAATGATACATTTTTTACAATACTTGTGAAATTTATTGATTGAACCTAAAATCATAGACAAATGATTGATTAAGAGAATTGAAATAGTAAGGATGATAAAAAGAAATTACATTGTGTGTTATAAATCATTTTTATTCTATTCATCATTAGAATGTGTTACACGAAATGGCTGCTTACATAATTACGTATTTACATAAAACATTCAGTGGATCTTTCATCAAAATGGGTATAATTGTGTAGGCAAATCGGATAGAACGACATTCTGATAAAATTAGTATTCAATAAGGAAATGATGTAAAATACGTCCGTAATATCATTCAATTACATGAATAATTGTCGATGGGAGAGGAGGAGAATTGAGCGATTGAAGATTTCGCTTAGAATCTTTTTTTTTTAAATATTTTTGTTGACTAGCATTTGTAATATGCTAACAGTTACGAGGAGGAAATAAGAGGAATGGACATCTAACATGGAAATATAAATCTATAACAGGTAATTTGAAATGCCTGTTAATGTAATGGAAAGGCGCACAGGTACACTCATCACTTGAATAACAAACTATGCAGAGAATAGTTTTATGGACCCAATCGTTTGTTTGTGTTTCTTTTATCTTCTTTTGATAGCTTTCGAACGCAACATACATACACACATAGATAGATACATAGAAATCGTGCAAGTATATTTTATTACTCTAACAGAAAACGCAATTACGTGAGCACAATGAGCAATTGGAATCGTCCATCAATTTAACGCGATAAAACACAATAGAACATTATTACAAAAGCTCGATTACTACACAATTACTAACACAACAACTATTCATTATTAGTAAGATAGGAAAAAAAATGTTTTTAGGAATGCCATAAAATATATATATATATATGTAAGAAACATTGTTAATAACCAACAGAATACTGAGTGAAACAAAAAGCTTAAAGATTAAAACAGAATAAAATATAAAATAAACAAAGCGATTTATATAATATAATAACATAAAATGTCGTTAATATCACAATACATTTCTAAAATGTGTAAAACAATAATGTTAATAAAAACGTTCGCAGCTTATGGAGATTGTTTAAATATTATTATTCTTGAAAATTTTAATGTACTCTATCGAACTGCGATTTTAGGGAGCGAATTCAATACATTCCCTCCCTTGAAAGCGCGTTTAAAGTCGATTCAATTAAAAACATTTCCTCTTTCTCTCTGAACTCACCTTTCTTTTTAAAGTCCTACTTATCTTTGGTTTTGCGTAACGCAGTTTTATTGAAACTGCAAATCGCTCCTAGAAGAGCCGATCGGTCTTTAGCTTGAGGTGTAGCGCCATTAGATAATGCCGTTCCACCGTTTTGCACCGCAGCTGTTGTAGCCGGAAGAAGAGGAGCGGTCATAGCTGGAGGAGGAGGCGGCGGCGGAGGTGGAGATGGCACCGAAGAACCTGCAGTTATAAAACACATTTATTGCATACACACGTTACATGTGATGTTAATTACCGCAGTCGTTCTGCCTGCAATTAAACTAAACATATTGAAAAATCGTTAGTTAAATTTCAAAAGTTTTGATCATATAGTAATTGATTGCAACGGAAGTATTATACAAAACTGGTGTGAGATCAAATTCCATTTTTTTTTCTGCATTTAATTAAAGTATATTAAAGACTTACTCGACATTGAAGGCGGTGTAGCAGTATCGATAGAATTAGCGGTACTAGTATTAGACACGCTTTCCGATCTATCTCCGCCAATTCCATTGACTTTTGGATCCTTTTCCTCGATTGTTCTTTGGCGCATCTAAACAATACACGATTATCATTTAATCTGACATCGATTGGATCACTCTACCTTCTCCCTGGCTTGTTTCTGTTCCTGCTTAAACTTATGTCGTTGCTTCTTCTTCTCCTCCTCCGAGCTCATCTTCTCCTGTGCACGAACCAGCCGTTTCTGATTCCTCATGATCTTCTGTTCCTCCCTCAATCTATCCTCTAACTGGGTGCTGATCACCTTCAAATGATCCTTCGCGGTGTTGGGAAATTTGAGATGCGCCCTGTCGCCGGCCTCCAAAGTCAGGATCACCGAAGAGAAGAACGGATGCATCAGCAGCGAGTCAATGGTGGGTACGCCAACTTTGCATCCCTCTGGAGATAGTATAGACTCGATCACGGACCTTAAATGCGTCGGACAGTCCTGCTGCGGAAGCTGTTCGACGACGCTCTCGTGCAGTGGAGCACCGAATGTCATCTCGTGGAGAACATGCCCGAACGAGTACACATCGATCGCTTCCAGCGTGTTAATTTTCTTGTGTTGCATAAAATACGGACGATAGAAACTCGGAACACCCAGTATCCCGTCCTCAATGTCTAAAAGCTTAATCCGTTCGTTATCGATTAAAATATTTCCAGTGTGTAGATGCCCTGAAACGAAGCAATCAGTTGAATTTCATGCGAAGAAAGTTGAATGTTGTTACCGTAAGGCAAGCCTTTGTCGTGCAGAAATTTCAACGCCTCTAAAATTTGCCTTCCGTAAAGAGCTATTTTATGTGACTCGAACGACTTGTGTCCTTTGGGATTTCCATACTTCTTCATAAAAGATAATTTCGGTTTAGCACCGCAAAGCAAATCTCGGATCGAACCAGCTTTATTGAAACTCCTCACCACAAGTCCACCAACGTCCGTGCACAAGCACATTTCTAGAGAGTGAATGTACGGATGCTTAAATCAAAATAATAATTGAAATAATGCTTTCTTCTAACTTCTCATTTTCTTAATACCTGAATTTGGCTCAAACTCTTAAACACGGCTTGCATCTCCTTATCCTCAAGATACTTATCTGGCCCGTAATCAGCCCAAGTCGCCCACAATTCCTCTTTGTTCAACGATTTGCATTTCACCTGATAATAGTGTTTCCTGAGTCTCCATCCAATGTCCGGCAATGGTCCAACGACTTCCCAGCCTACTTCTCCACGTAAAGCTAAGGAGACATGCTGCAGTGCTTGCTCTAAAATTACAAAAATTCAGCGAACATGCATTTTACATGAACGAACAATCGAGACATACCACTAAAAGGTTGGCAATAATTAGCTGGATCCACAAAGGATCTGGCTGGTAAAGATGACACTAGTATAGGATTCATGAGGATAATATTTAAATATTTCTGAAATTGTTAAGTATAATTAATTTGATATTTTCATTTAGAGAAAAAAAAACTCACTTGAAGGCCCTGCTGTCTTTCAGCAATGAAGTCTGGTTCCATATTTCCAATGAGCTTTTTTGGTGGCAAAGGCAACTGCAGTCCTGACGACTGCAGCTGAGAGTGCAACTTAAAAAAGTCATTGTATCTTTTTTGTATTCGCCAGGTCTCGTTGGTAAATGGCCCTCTATGTACTTTTATTACAAATTCCTTAAAATAAATGCATTAAATTTAATATTTCAAGTATTTGCAGCATCATAAACAAGTTATTTGCATTGGAAAGACGTGGTCAATTATGTTTCACAATCTACTTGTATTTAATCTGCTTATATATGTATATATATATATGTACTATTCTCAATGTCAACAGAGACTTATTACTTAATGCAATTGTTATCATGTGAGCTTCCTGTAGCCAAAAGATTCTATTTATTATCAATCATTACCGTGTGTCCATTGGTGGTCTTCCAATTCTCAATGTGACATGTTATGGGTTCAGTGTCATCAAGCGTCACCTTCTTGCTTATTTCCTCTTCAAATATAGCCATTTATCCATTTGAAAGGCCTGAAAATCCATCAGAACACCACACGAAATTAGAATCAATCTGCCAAAATATAGTACTTTCCAAAGGATGTGTTCTTCTTTCAGTTGTCAAACTGTTGCCAACACACTTTTTTTGACTGTCATTTTATATGTTGGCTAACATGATTGATTATTTCAATAATTAGCATGGAAAACAACGTAACAAAAAAAAAATCAGCCAGATTTAATGATCTTCTTTTATTTTGCACACATACAACATAAATAATTTTTGATAAAATCAATAAATTTAACGTTCGCTCAACAGGTGGAATCGAACCACTTCGGCGTCAGCCGACTACAGGTTTGAAGCCTGCACCTTAGACCACTAAAGCTCAGCTGAGCAAAGTCCCAAATTATTTACTTGTTTATAAACTGCATTTAATATCATTTATTTTACAGAGCGCTATATGATTTTTAGTTGATAAAATATTAAATAGCCATTAAGTACAAGTTTCAATCTTAAAACATAATATAAATATAATTAACTAGCGAACTTATCATATAATCATCGTAATTTTTTTTTTGTAATATGTTTAAAATGTAAAAAAATAAAGCTTAAAGTTGTTTTGGTTGCATAATATACATATGCCATTTAGAATTGATATTTTCACTTTAATTATTAGAACTTTATAATTATATATATATTTTTATTATACATTTTTATTATTTTCTGAAAGATTATCGTTATCAGTAAATTGTATCAATATTTGGCAATTCACTAATATTTTTCTAATACTACTAATAATTCTAGAAAAACTATTTACCCTATTTTTCGAACTATAAGACGCACCTTTTTTTACATAGAAAAAAGGATTCAAATTTTGGGTGCGTCTTATGGTCAGAAAGTAACATTAAAATATATTTTTCAATAAATCGTCTCTAAATTTGAAAATAAAACAAAAAAAGACTTTTATATAACGTGAACTATAAACTAAATGTGATCAATTATGCAAACCAATATTGAAACAGAGCAGCAGAAAGACATTTTGGTCCATCACCAACAAAGAAAATGGTTCGAGAATGGAGAAAACAAGAGGAACAATTAAAACTGTTAAGTAAAGACAAGAAAACTCGTCTCTAAATTTGAAAATAAAACAAAAAAGACTTTCATATAACGTGAACTATAAACTAAATGTTATCAATTGAAAACCAATATGGAAAGAGCAGCAGAAAGACATTTTGATCCACCACCAACTGAGAAATAAAATTATAATGTAATTAGTGTTTATATAATATAATACTTCAAAAGGAAACATTAATAAGTAAATTATATAAAGTTATATACAAATATTAATTAAACAGTATAATACTCAATATTATTGTTTATTCTTAACGAATGAGACTAAGTACCTACAATGTATGTAGTTCTTGGAATGGAACGCAGAAACATGAAAAGACGAGAAAATTAATTATTTGAACAAATGTTTTGTTTGTTTGTTTGTTAATCTAGAAACAGTTCAATAACCTTTACATATAACAAAAATAGAAATTTAAACGTCAGGTAATTTTAGCATCGCATAAACTAAAAATATGTATTTAATTACGTACGAAACATCTTGCATTCGAAAAACTGTCTTTTCGTTACAATTTACAGAATTTTGCTTGCATCGAAATAATTTATCGGCGAAAGCATTTTGATTTCTCGATGACATTACAATGTGTATTATATGGAGCATTTGCCAGAAGTTCGAAGCACTTTAGAATATGTTACCGGTTTTTACTAATTATTTATGCCCTGGATGCATCGAATGTTATCCATACTCGATGAACTTTCATTTTTTCACTTTCAAAATTTGAACAAGGATATAGGAAATACATACATTTTCTAATTTAATTAAGTTTATTAAATTCAATTAAATTTTATATCTATATTATAGTAATATTAACAGAAAATAATCGCTTTTGACATATTTCAATTTAATATTTTTGAGGAACATGTGACTCTTAAAAAATCTGTTATAAATTATAGAAAACTAAGAATGTTAAGTCAATATTTTGTTCTAATCATATTTGGAAAGATTGTGTAATATTTTGATGTAATAAGAAATGTATTTAAATTACTTTTTATATAAGTTTTGGTAACGTTTCTTTTATGACACTTTGCATGAGAATTGATCTAAATAACAACGTTATTATACAAGGATTGTACTTCCAGGACGGAACAAGGACGAGTACGTATAC